AACCTATACAAGATTGTCGATGCGGTAGCATAATCGTTTGACCGGTACAATAATTTGCTGTCATTAAACCTTCTTCGACCTAGAAAAACAGCCGCATTTTTGTTTCCATGTACATTTTACACATTTTAGTGCGTTAATTGCAGGTAGGCATATTATTATTTAAACATATCATCAAGGTTAGGTTAGGTTCATCTGCATAAACCGAACGAACGATCTGTTATCTGTTTAAAAATGCATACCTGCAGAACTTATCACATAATATTTACTATAATACATTTACTGACTATTTACCCATTATACCTGTATCAATAACTTAAAAAATGTAAATTAATATTGACATGTAATGTAATACATTTTATCACGATTATGGGTAGACAAATCTATTTACTGTACGATATAGTTACGGCTTAAATTCCTGGTACTTGAAGTATTGTTTTTTAAAATATTTGACAGCGTCCTGCTAAATTAAATATAATTGTATTCACATGAAAGTCGTGATGTATTATTTTTTAATACAAACGTTTAACTCTGTAAATCGCGTGGTTGTAAGAAAACAGTTTGGGTGCTATTTTCAATGTGCTTAAACCAATTAATTTTGTATTAAGATCCTTTATTTATAAATAATATCATTATAAAAATATTTACGACTATAATATATAAGTTATAATATATTTTAACAATATACCTATGCTTTAAAAATTAATTGTAGAACAGTATGACCAATAGTTATTAACGTATTTTTTCCGATTAATGGGTACCTATATAAGCTCCTCATGTATAGAATTATAATTGACTATCGTAGGTATAGGCTATACAATAAATTATAACAGTACCTATTTTTAGGTCTGTATACTTGACAGACGCGTTATATATAATATAGATACGTCATGTCAACTCGAAAAAAAATCTGAGTAAACACAGTGAAACATTGAAGGTTCGTCGGAGAAATCGCCAACTGCGTATAATGGAAATATAGATATAATATAATATATTAATTATATGTGTGCTCGCAAAACGGCACAGCTCAGTGTCGGCATTAGGTATAACTTTTTAAACACAAGCCACTCGTGTAACTCAATATACATGTACATTGTGTACATACTATATTGTATTGTGATCACAATATGTAAAATTATACCTATATAATACACCAAACACGCAGCGGTGCACGCTACAGGTTGCAATATTTCTCATGGAAATAAATGTACGTAGTTTGAACTTTCAAAAATAATTTCCACCGCGTGGCGCGTACAGCAGGTACGCCTAGTTCGCGCAATAGCCTATATAATATAATAATATATTAACATACATTATAATATGATATTTGATAAGAGTTCAGTCCTCGGGACAAAGGAATTATGAACATAATATGTGTATCGTGTATGGACGCATGGTGTTATATTATCTCATATAGTTATATTCATTATTATATTGAATTTAACTCTGTGGACAAGACGCCAATACGATATAACTATAAATTTTTTGTACGAGCGCGTAATAATATATATTATAATAACAATAAAAAAAAATAAGACTCTCGTCTGCTGCAGTCATAAATATATTATCTACATCTTTAGAAGTTTAGACCAATATATTATACTTTAAAATTACGATATATTACACCTATATATTTATTCGATATTATAAATTATTTTATAATATGACGAAATATATTAATAACGAGGAATTCTGCGATTAAGCTAAGCGCACGTATATAAAATTATAAAATTAAAAATTAATTCTCGTCCAATAAGCACTTACCTTATTCTATTGATATTAAATTACTCCATTAAAATCATTGTTGTCTAACATGTTTCGTAATATTTTGCATTGATATTAAATTAGGCTATCTATATAAATAGAACCACATGGAGACTTGACAACGCTCGAGGGCGTATCACGATATTAAAATAACATAATAGGCGCGCTACACTATAATATGTTTCCATGTACCTTCTATAGGTATTACAATTAGATAGTACCTAACAATGAAAGATTTTGTAATGATTTATTTATTTATTTTTTAATATTGTTATAGTAGGACTATAACTACTAATGCCATCTATATAAGTATCCGAAATGTGTATTGTCACTTGTCAGTACAAAACTAAAGTTGTTTAATAAATTGAAAACATTTTTTTTTCCTACAGTAGCACTTTTTCAATTTTCAATTTATTATATTATTATAATATTATGGAAGCATTCACGAAGTGTACAAATGATTGTTTGTGCTCGAATACGCAATTAATCTCGTACGAAATGATAAGATTAAAAATTAAAATACATGAATATATGTGTTATTATGCAAGATTTAATGACTTACGAATATTTTTAACTTTAGATAATTTATCATCCGATACTTCTAGAATGAGGATTTACATGTGAAAAAATAAATCTTGAATCTTTCGAAAGCCAAACTGTGAATACTATTAATAGTAATAATTATTAATGTTGTTGTTTTAATTTTTACTTTCTGCTGCTGATCAAATAAAAACAAATTTATAACATTATATTATGTATATAACTGCCATAAACGCCTAGAATTTAATGTAGCGTATCTTATTAAACTTTTTAACAAGTTATTACGTCTGCAACCTTGCCAAATTCGTATACGAATATAATATGAAAAATTGACGAACGTTTGAACAAATCAAATCAAATCAAAATGTATTCACAAAATATATTTTATGCGTTGCATAAAGAGCAATATATTATGGTATAGATATACATCGTATGATGGACGTAAAATATATAATTGGAAATATAATAATATCATAATATTATGCAGACCGTGGTCGTCGTTCGCAAAAACTTTAACTTTAACTGCAGCAGCGTGTGCAGCATTTCGGTCTTGGCCGCTCTGACATTTAAATAAGGATATTAAGCTTGGAATTTCGTACGGCCTCGTTCGTGTACATAGGTACAGCTATAATACTGCTATAATAGTATTGCTGCAGCTGATGCAGAGGTATATAACTATATAAGCCAGTATTGAACTCGAAACGTCTCTCTGTCTATTAAAAATAAAACCAAACGTACATGCAGAGTACGGTATCGAAATACCGACTAAATCCGAACACGATCGTAATAACACCGCACACTTATAAAAAGTCGTACCTACCTAAATAATGATAGTATAATAATATTATGTGTAACGTATTTTTATACCCATGCGCATTGTGTGCGCAATAATATATATTATACTATACATAAATCACGTGTAAATATAAGTATACAACGCATATAAATATAATATATATATAATATATGTCTAATCTAAATATAGTTATATACTGTATGTATTATATGTATATGATAATATGTATAGTATTACGACGTTCACTATAATATTATTAATATAAACTATTGCGTGTGCACTGTGCAGTATACATAGTGACACTTCTGTCGAGCGGGTGCAGGTTTTCTGAACACAATAGATCTAGTTTTCGCGGAGCCGTACATAATAAAATGCATATTATATAATATTATATTATACATTTATACACATAATATATAAAAGTACAGGCAGGAAGGTACAAAGAGGATACACAATACGCATATCGTGTGAATTTTTTCTCTTTTCCACCGCTGACTTGAATCATATTTATTATGCCGTATTATTTACCACCTATGTAGTAAAACATTTAACTGCGCGTTATATTATTAAAGCGAGTTCGTTTTAATTCGCAGTCGATATATCAAGGGCGAATCCAGAATCTCTGTACGGAGGGACACCTCAACTAAAAACATTTTTAATGTGTTGATTTTTAATGATTAATGAAAAATTATATTACCTATATTTTTTTTTGTAAACTGGATCGGCACTTTCCCCCAGACCCCCCCCCCGGATCCACCCTTGATCGATATGCATATTTTATTAATATTTGTTTTATTATGGTCAACACTATGTGGCAGTGGTTCTCAACCTTTTTTGTTATATGTCACCCTTAGATACTAGAATCCAACACTTTGTCTCCCTAATATAAATATTAAATATATTAAACAATTTAAATAAAAATACAGTCCCGAGAAGAGTAATAATTATACATACATTTTAGTTCAAGGTTCAATAAACACTTATTATTATGTCACCCCTATGCTGGATCCATGTCACCCCGAAGAAAGATAGTGCTATATGGTCATATGGTCATATTATGGAGGTATACTCGGTACTCGGGAGCGATAATATATTACATATAATATAAATATGACAATATTATAGGCAGCCATAACTATTACACTATCGTTGTATCGTCCACGATTTGAAAGGACTAGTATTCGACTAGAGATCATTAAACATTTTCTAGACATTTTCCGACTTGCAATAAAATCGGTATTTAACACTTAGCAATAAATCAATCTATTTTAGCAATGATCGTTTAAAGATTAAAAGACTTCGAAAAAAAATATATTCATGCAATATAATATGATTTAATAGTTATTTTATTATTTTGTTTTCAACAATAAACACATTTCGTTGTCTTATGAGCATTTGTTATCTCGTTAAAATACTGCAGGCAATATCGTGATGTTTCGAATCATTTCCCGTCGAATTATAAAATAAATTACAATGATAGATTTGAATTTAATAATATTACAATCGTTAATATACTACGTTATTCCTCCAGCTGATTTTACCAGCACCTCGTCCCACCAGTATAATGTGCCGACGTGCTGTCATCGCGCGGATGCAAAACTGCCGCGTACCTAATTCATACAATTAAAATATCATAAACCAATAATTACTATGAATACATCGACGAAGAATCATATTTCTACGCGCATTACGTGTTTTAATATGTTGTCACTTGTCGTACGCGTACACCTTGGAGCGGTACACGATAAAATACGAAGAGAAAAGTCCTGCGTTACAATAATAATAATAATAATAATAATAATAATAATAAAAGGTGTCTGCTCGGTGGGGGCCGAAGACGTACGACCTACTCCCGAGGTGGCCGGCTATAGGATTACACAAATACTCGCGCGCGCATTATGTTCCCAGACCACGATACTTGTGCATAATATAGTTCATAATAATATTATGTAGGTACCTGCCTTACGGTTTACACCGCCGCAGCCGTCCGTCGAGAGCGGTCCGTGTACGCGAGTCTGTCGGCTTGCCAAATTTTTCGACCGCGCTCGAGAGCCAGAAAAAAAATCCACACCGACCGAATTGATCGGGGCAATTGACGATCGCCGTACAAATTTCAACGACGACGATAATATTAAAACACTCATAATAATTATAATAATTATTATAATATTACACTTCGCGGTTTGTCGTTTCCCACATTCCGATTTTACTCTCGAGCGCGCGAGCTTTGATAATAATTATAAATATAGTTTGCGAAATCATAATTTATCGCAATCGCGTGGCAGCGGAAAATTGAAGGAAAAATTGCCCGCGGTTTCTGTTTTTCGAACTCAGTACGTCGTCGTCCGTCGTCGGGACCGCTCGGAACAGCTCTCGTAAAGTTTTTATTACGCCAGCCGAAGATTGCCGTGACCAAACGTCTCTCGATCTACGGATATAATATTATAGACGTAAGTGATTCATATAATCATATTTAATCATCAGTTTTATAAACCTTTTATCCGTGCATAGACTGCATCTGGGTTTACGACGATAATATTGTAATTTTTGGATGCAAAAGTACCTATATCGTCTCGAAAGTATTAAATAATAATTTAGATATATTATTATGTTAGGTTATAGCATTACAAGTACAGCTGATATTTTTTTGGAGAAAACACATCTGCATCGCACGATTTCACAAAAACCATGATATATAATAACATTAATCATGATGATTGCCGAAATAATCTTAATTAAATGTTTTTTTTTCATATTATTCCGTGTGTATAGTCTGCGCGTGAAAGTTTTTTTTTAAACTAATATGCAATTAAAGACTTTATTTTTATTTTTTGTCGTGTTGTAATACACACAATTATTATTATTATTTTAATTTTTCAAAGATTATGTTCATTAAAAAAATAATGAATAATAATAATAATAATAAGTGGACATAAGTACATAACCAATTCATAGTACATACCTAATGGCTAAAACCTAATACAGATATATTATTAGGTAGGTATATCTTATCTTTATTCTGCACGTTCCACGTGGATTTTGTATTGATAAGTGTTATATTGATCACAAAAGTGTGAAAAACATGTTTACACAAAATATTTATGAAAGCCAACTAAACACCTTATTTTATCAGAAATATGACACACCTACCTTGTAATTGTATTGTTATTAGTAATTAAAAGCCAATCTGACCATTTAACGTTATTATACTTCATTAGATTTAAAAATGAATTTCTAAACAACGTGTGCAATGTACATAAATATAATAGGAAATTTCAAATTTACTTTTCAGTAATATATATATATGAATATATATACTATTTAGTAGTATAAAGTTACTAAATAGTAAGTAGTAATAATTGATAAAAATGGCGTGAAAACCCTAACCCAACAGTTTTAAATTTGGAGGTTACCGCGAGGAACGCGGTTATTTTGCACTTTGTAAACAATTAATCAGGCAGTTACAAAGCATTAATTTATTTTTACCCCATTCAATAAAATTATTAATTATACTTAAAAGACATATATATATATTACATTATTTATACTTTATATAATTATATATATTATATTACAAAATTTATTTGACATATAAAACGTCATAATTATTGTATGAACAATCTTGTCATTTCTCATACTGATATTTAGCCTATACTCGATATAAAGATATTATTGCAAAATCGATAAATAGTCAAAAGACAAAATTCACTTTTTGATTACATTTACAACTCTATTAAGGCATTTGAATAATAATTATATGAATTATGATAAAGGCAACGATATTATAATGTGCCCATATATTATGAAATTATAAATTTGGACCATTTTGTAAATGTGTTAGCGTTTGTACATATAGTGTACCTGTTAATGAGAGTAGACAATTAAATTTTTATCGGATACTCAAAGCACCTTTCAATCTAGTTCAACAGTTTAAAAAAAATTGATAATTATTTGTATACAAAAAATAACAACAAAAGAGTTTATTTAAAATTTTACATACTCTTTTTACCATTAGTTACTATAATAGACTGTATAAAAATAAGTTCATAACATCTTATAAATGTGTCTAAAATTTTATAAAACTTATTAAAGCCTGCGGTCAAGGTTTAATGCGTGACACATATAATGTATTTTGAGAAAACTGTAGAGTTATAGCATACTTTAACATAAATATACTGACAATCAACTTAATCCAACTAACTTTTTGTTTATTGTTCTTAAAACTGGGACATCATAATATTATGTCTTAAAAAATGTATATTAAAATAGATATTTATTTCACATAATGTAACTGTAAGTACTTACGTACCTACTGGAGAAAATTTAAGTATTTATCAGATTATATTTTTAATATAAATTTTTGTATTTTCTTTTTACATTAGCTGCGATGGATTATTCTAAAAAAGTTGGAAATAACAACATATCACTCTCTGACGAAGTCTTAGAAGTTCTCGAGTCTCAATTTAATAAAGTCAAAACTCTTCATTCTACAGATTTAGAGATTATTGCAGCCGAGTTGGGTGTTAGAGATAATGATGTTAAGGTAATATCAATATATCATATAAAATGTAATACTTTGACAATTTATTCCAGCAATCTAATTGGTAAAAAAATTAAATAAATTATAACATTGCATTTAACTAAAAAATATGTCACACCACACATTGCAGCTGTATTCTTGTAATATTTTTGTAGGTACTATTAACCTACATTAGGGTAACATGGTGTTTTGTTTTAATTACAAGCAATTGTGACTAATCAAAAGATTATTAAAATAAGCGACCATCAGTCTTAGGACCAATCATAGACTTAAACACGATTTTTATGGGTTTTTAAGAACAATATTGTTCAATAACAAGTGTTCATTTTGTTTGACGTTTCGTAGGTAACAACCTTGCAAGTTGCAGGACAACAATAATAAATTTATACTACACATAATTTCTCTTCTATTAAATAAATATAGATAGGTGAAATGGTACATAATACATTAAAGTACATATAAATAATATAAATAAATAATATATTTATGATTTTATTATAGTAATAAACAGCTATAACCGGTGTTTCATGTAATACGAATACACAATACAGGCAAATTTATATAAAAAGTTTATTATAGAGCTGACTTCAGCAGAACGATCAAGGAAAAATTGAGCAAAAACCACAGGTTTTATGAGAATTTGAAGTTAAGTTTTTAGTTTTTAAGACATTCACAATTTTAGTTACATATGGCTGGAGTTGCAGATATTTATCTAATTTGATAATGTAATAAAATTTATAACATTAAAACTAACGGTATGTATGCAATACACATAGGAAAAAGTGTATAATATAATGAATGTATAATAATATGGTTATAAAAATAAAACACTTGTATCTATTTTGATTTAACCTTTGTAGTGTAAGAATGATTTAAATAAATATGTATATATATATATATAAATTATTAAACGCAGATGTAGTGATCCTCTATGATTATATTAAGCAAGTGAAGCAAAATTAATTCTGATGTTGATTACTAGGACAAGAATTCCAATAATTTTCAATGCTATGTACAAATTAATTTTCTATTGTCTATCAGTTATCAGTCAGTTTATACTACAATGGTATATTAAAAGGTAAAAATAAGATATATATATATATCACCTCATCAATCTGATTATAAAAATCTTTAAACTTCTGATGCTCAATGTGTGTGTTGTGACTTGTGCGTGGATGTTTCAGTTTTACAATTTTGAACTTCATTTTAAGAAGGAATTTTTAATTTTCTAATATTTATTTTACGTTTAAAAATAAAATGTTGACTAGCCAATAATTTGGTGCCAATAGTATGTACGTGTTTACGTTTTTACTTATTTTTAGTTAATAAAATGTATAACATAATATTCAAATTACAAAACGAAATGAAGTTTTTAAAAAATTGGTAGGTCTATGTTTTAATATATTATAACCTGCATTACATAAAAAATTTTTATTTTATTAAGTTTCAGTTTCTCCAACAAATAGTAAACATGTATTGCAGTTTAATATTTACATACTCAAATTCATATGAAATCCATGTAATAATATAATATAGAAATGGTAAACATTATATACGTCAAACATTGATTACAATTTTTAATTATTGTTTATCAGTTGCGAGGACAATAATGCGTATTATCGATCATTAGAATGTGGATATTATTATTTATTTTTTATAAGTAATTATTTTAGTGACCATTTGATTTCAATTATATTTTGTAAATAGTAGAATACCCAAATATAACTAATTTGTTAGAAAGTAAAAACCTGACAACTTGTTTAAATTATATTAATTGTACGATTTCGTAGACAGCTGTTAGTAAATTAACAATTCAACTATAAACAGATAATATACTTGTGATACACGAAATATTTATCAATGTTATTAATGAATCTTAGAAATTTATATTTTTATACTTCCTTGTTTCGAAATATTCAAATCATTCGGCTGCGGTTTATTATCGAATACATTATTTTATATTAAGTTATAATTAGCATTTTGCATTTAAGTATATTAAACCTGCAGTATTAAAAATTTTAAACTACGTTTTTTACTAGGTATTAGGTACCTGTTTTTGGTTATAAATAAACAGAAATAAAGTCAACGATGCTTATTCATGATATTTGCTATTAAAACTGTAAAAGGTTACTAACAAAAGTTCAAAATAGTTTTACTTTGCCGAAGATTTAATTTGAAAATCACGAACAACTAAAAACCAAATAATAATATTAGATTAACCAAAATTACAAATCATTTGAAAAATTGTTATCAACGATGGACTTAAACATATGAACATATCATTTTTATAAATTTATGTTTCCGTTAGTTATATTACCTATATTAGAGCATTGCAGAATGGCAAAAGCAGATACACAAGCATTGTATAGTTTTCCCATTTTCCACAAACAGTGAGTAACAATATTTTAAAAATCATGTTGTCTCGAAAGCATAAACTGTCAATTCGTGAATTTTTTTTTTCGTATTGGTATTGATAATTATTCACCTTTATTGGCTGGGTTCTATTGCACAATTGTAAATTGTAATACTCTTATATTTTTTAGATGTGGTATACTCATCGTCTGGCGGCATGGAGAAGGAGCCAAGGACTTTCAGATTGTTTTGGGCAATTGTGAATTTAAAACACACTAACTAAAAATTATAATAATTACTATATTGTTTAAGTCGATGTTTGTTATGCATGTATTATTACAGTGATTTTACTATTTTGGTAAAGTTATATATCATTTTGTTTTGTATTTATTTAGTTGTTACTAGCACTCATTGTTTTATTTTGACTATTATGTTATGAGTATTATTATTATTTTATACTCGCCGAATTTTAAATCATCGATGTGTTTCTAATAATATATATTATGTAAATTAACAAAACATTATTTATTATTATTTATTTCGATCATGTTCACATTTAATAATATAGTGGTTATAGAAATCGACGTCGTTCAATAAATGTGTAAAAGCGATGACACACAACTTTTAAAATATTTTCCGTGATTTGTGATATTCTGCATTGCGTTCGAACCATGTAGTAAGTGATATTAATTTATGAGTTTAATCGTCGTATTTATTTATTTTTACTACATAGTACTTACTTAATATACGTAATTTATTATAAGAATTATAATTGACTATAACAATCGAATTAGGTCTTGGATGACGATTATTGTGAAGATTATTGGAAAACTGCGATCGAATGATAATTTGTTTTAAAAGGTTTATTTGGGTAGTATTTGTATATTACAAAACTACTGTATTTATCAGTTTATTCCATAATATTGTTATCGTGCACGTGCAATACAATTATTTAAAAATATCCACAAAAAAATGTTTGAATACAATTATTTTTTAAGTTTTTCATGGTATTTTCATTGTATTATCTTCATTTGCACGTAAATGGTTTGTAAAATTGTTGTATATTAAAACAAACACAAATATTTATTTGGGCACTATACGATCTAGAGTTATTCTCGTTACCGCATACTGCACACTTCCCATCGTTGTTTGGAACGTTTAAAGTAAACAAAACATAGACACTCGATGGAGCCGGAAAAATTACACAGAGTAAAAATGACGTACGTGTCCCCAATCAAAATATTAATATATTTTTCAAGACAACATTTAGCAGTCAATTAGCAACGATTGTAGCAAGGTGGTTGTAATAATTTGCAAACCAATATTTCGTCCCCAAAAGAAGTTTCGCAGATTCGTACATGTGATGAAGAATAAAAAAAAATAAAAATTAAACAATTACAACTATAATGAAAATGATAAACAGTCCAATGATTTTTTTTTAAACTATTTTTATTAATTGTATTAATTGATCAATAATAACTCAAAACTAATTTTAAAAAACGATTAAGGGGCCTCCTTACTACTGGATTCTAAGAAACATTTTCTATGCAACTTCTTATACATTCAGCAATACAATTAGACTTGTAATTGTATTTAGTCGCGAATGATCGTAAGTAGTATAATAACCCGAATAGTAGTAGCGAGAAGGTATCTCGCACGCACGCACTCACATGTCAGATAATAATTTGGTGGTGTAGAAAATATATTTATTTTTCACACACACTAACGGCTCTGGTTCAAATAATGCGTCGCAAAGATAACATCGATTTGTATTTAGAAAAATTATTTTAATTTTCCACAATATTTATGAGGGATCAATCGCGCAATTTTAGAGATTTTAGTTAGTTGATTAAATATTTAAGTTTAAAATTTTAAAAATTATAACAACATTCCTTGCAATCTAAATTACAATAGTTTAAAATGCGGGTCGATCGTCCCGTTTTACATATTACAAAGAGCCGGAGTATTTTTTCAGAAGAAAAATCGCAATAATTGTTGATACATATTCGTTGGAATTAGAAACAGTAGTTTTCGACAAAAAAAGCGCATTCAAGAATTTCATTAATAAATAAAATAAAAATGAAATATAATTAATTTGACCTTTTGATTGACATTTTTACTAGATAATTTTTTATTTTTGTTAATTGTATTTATCAATTATTTTTATAAATTAGTTTGATTAATTATAATGTACATTATTTTATAAAATTCTTAAGAAAAATAACCCAAACTTATTTATAATATTGTATTGAAGTAAAAGGATAATAAAATAAATTTTACTCAAATTATTTTTTTTAAGGTAAAATAAGTTTTCTTGTAGTAATAATGGATGGTACTACACTGCTACTGTCGGAAAATTTTATTTCAGCTGATAGCTCAAAGTGGAGGTGTTGCGTTAAGTTGTAACCTCCGCCAGGAAACCAGATTTTCCGGGAAATGGAAGAAGTAGTAGATGTTAAAATTGGAGCTGCAAATTGTTTGCAAAACAATGACACTGATTTGGAACCCATCTGACGATTTCGGTTATGGTGCAGTAATATAAACAGATGTCACCAACTTTTTGGACCTCGTGGACCTCTAAATCCATACTTCCTTAAAATTTTGGTCAAATTTTGGTCTTCATCGTTTTCGGCCAAAATTAACCTTTCCGTGTACCACCAAGTCCATTTACAGCCAGTATAATAATAAATGCTTCCATTTTCCACCACTACAAATTTCATTTTTTATATTTTTGTAACCTCTTATTATAAAATTGAAATATTACATAAGATTATATGTATAAGTTGTTTGTCCATACAAAATTGATAAAATAAAACAATAATTTATGACCTGAATGTATTTAAAAAAAAAATATATAATTACTTAATGATTAATTACCTAATTATTACTTTTTTTCAATTATCAATAACTTTACATGTTTTCACAGCAAGGGGTTACTAAAAAATAAAACTGAAATTTTTAGGAACGGAAAATGGAAATATATTTATTTGTACTGGTGGTAAACGGAAAAGTTGATTTTGGTGGGTAGATAGCCTTAAATTCTACTGACCACTTATAGATTATAATAGATTTTTACAAAAATGCCGTTCTACTAATAAATCTTATACCTAATTAATATTCTGTAAAAAAGATTCTGTAAGTGATTTTTCCTAAATGTTGTTTAAAAATAGCTACCACCTGCTGGTTGATGTCCTCCTCTTTCATATATTTATCAGAATTCTTAAACATTTGTAGATCTTCTCCAGCCAACCGCGTTTGCCAAACTAATATTTTTTTTTGAAAAACATCCATCTTGTCTCATATTGTGAACATGTCCTTAAATTGTCCTTGCACAGTTGCATGGATATGTTTAGTTCATTTAACAGCTTATTTATATTTGATAGGTATGCAAGTTTGGCTTTCTAATCATCATCCAATAAGAGTTCATGAAATTTCAGAGTATTTTGCAGTTGGAAAAATAATTTAACTTATTCACGTAGAGCAATTAGCCAGATTAAAATTTTCCCTCTCGACAGCCATCTTACCTCTACATGAAGAAGAAGGTATGTTTATCGGGATACATTATACTACCCAATACTACTTCACCGGCTTGGAACATGCAAGGCTTAATTAAGTCTTCTCCAATTGTATACGGGTTTTTATTTTTTTGCCATCCGAACAGAGCTGGACAAGATAACCAATTTTTTTAACTACCTACTTAAAGTTGAGTTATCCTAAAATAAAAAAAACTAAGCTAAGTTAAAGTTATAATTTTATAAAATAAACAAATTTGAGTAACTGAGTTAAATTACCAATTTTCATGAAAATAATAACTTAGTTAAGTTAAAAGTTAAGTTACTTTTTTTTTAAATACCTTCAACTTACTCATAAACGTTTTTTTATCTCGTCGTAGGAAAAAACTAGTTTTGGTATAAAGTGTAATAAATTAAATCAATAACAAATGCACAGACTATATGATTTTATAAGATAAAAAACTGTTATTGTAATATTTTATTTATATACCAATATAATATTATATAACTATTATAAGACTGTCGAGTGTAGTTTGTGGAAAACACGGCAACGCTCTGTATACTTAAGCATCACTGTATGTCTGTATCAGAAATGACTAAAATTAGGTCTGTTCTGGACATTTTATTATTACATTTCAACCCACAGTATGTTTATAAATTCCTAAACTTCCTAATTATATTCCATATTAGTGCATAATAAATAAATATATAAATATAAATAATCATTATTCACTATAATACTAGGTACTATATTATGTTACGATATACATTAAAAGTACGAATACCGGTAAAACCTACGGTATTTAGTACTATACGTCTATAATATTGTAATAAATATAAATGTAGATAATGTACGATCGGTAAATATCCCTTCGCCCTGACAGTTTTTAGAAATATCAATGCAAAGAATATAGGCACAGTTTATAATAGGAAAACTCATAAGTAACTTTATACAAATAACTTTGGTTAACAACCTAAGTTAAGTTATAATTATTTATTTTTTTCAACTAGTTAAATTAAAAGTTATCAAAAAAGTAACTTTCAGCTTTTAACTTTTTAACTAGTAACTGCTCAGCTTTGCATCTGAAGTGCTACCAAATAAGAAATCTTTAAGAAGGATTTATCTTCAATTGTCCTTTTTATTCATAGTAATTACTCGCTTATCTTCCTTCACCCATTCTTATTGGAAATATTCAACTAGTTTATTTGCTCAATCCTTGTGTTATGAATAGAAATGTCTTTAGAATTTCGAAGGTTTTAGAGCATCATTGGATAATACTTCAGAACACACAACACAGAGTGGCCATGGATGCAGATCACTATCAGATTCTTGAATAAATCCGAATTGTAAGTAGTTTGAATTATATTTTCTTAATATTTTGAGTTATTTTGTCTTTCCTCCTTCAGTTTGAATGTTTTTTCTAATGGCACCTGACGAAGATTGGAGGGGTTGAGGTTGTGCAACCCAATGGTATGTTTGTCTGTAGGGCAGTAAAAAATGGGTTGTAAATTGGTTGCAAAAATATGATATTCATTGGTTTCTGACCGGACAAAGTTGGGATACTAACTTCAGGCAAGTCGTAAGTTGCTGTGAGTGGAAATTCGAAAAGAAAAATTGAGCGTAAATCCACAATATATTTTATGAATGCCTCTCCATTTTGAACCCGAAGGTTCCTATAGTCATAAATAATAATCAATTTGTTTTTGTAAAATAAAAATAATTTAATTTCAATTGAAAATTTAGTTATATCCAGCTTTTAGGTTTGTTATTTAAGGTATTCACTAAAGCAGAACCATTTTTGTTGGATTGTCGTTATAGCACAGATATTTGGGATACAAAAATTGGAAGTGTGCATTTTGTT